ATTTGATTTTCTTGTACTTTTGCATTTTTAGAGAAATCTTTTATCATCTACCAATCGAGTGCAGAAACATCTTCAGGACCCAAAAATGAATTTTAGAGAAGCAGCTGTTGATCTTGATTCTTTGAAAGAGAAATTGATAGAATCACATGAAGAGTCCTGTCAAGAAGCACTTAAAGTGGGCAAGAATCAATGTGAAACATGGGGATTGACCATTGAAAGAAGAAAAATACGTCGTAAACGAATGCCAGGTGAAAATACAGCTGATTCTGCATTGACTGCTGAACAGGAAATTTATCACATCATGAAGGATGTTATTGATCGCTTGATTACAGAAATAACAGGAAAATTTTCTCGCTTACTAGATTTGGATTCACGGTTTGGATTTCTACTAGATGTGCAAAATATTGTTTTTGGAGATTTCGAAGACGGAAAATTGCAAGAAAAATATTCTGACTTAACAAAGAGCTATCCAGGTGATATTTATGGACCAGAATTGTACAGAGAAATTAAAAACTGTAGAATGTTGATAAGTAAAATAACACAGACAGAGTTTCCTGAACCAATGGTTGGATCTGATTTGCTAACATTTATCATTATATATGGTGAAGATGTTTTCCCAAATTTAAGAATTGCATTGCAGATTTTGTTAACAATTGGGGTTTCTATTGCTAGTTGTGAAAAGTCCTTCAGCAAGCTGAAATTAATTCTTACATACTTGAGAACCTCAATGACTCAAGAACGACTTGGTAATTGGCAATATTAAGTATTGAAAATGGTTTAATTGATACATTTGCAGCAGCAAAAGCACGAAAGGTTCATATAATGTAACCATGAATACCAGCATGCTACCTGTACAAGATCTAATTAAGTATATGTACAGTTTTGTAAACTAATAAAATTTGTTACTTGTAAAGTTAAGTAGTATTTTAGCAATTTTTTTTTATAATCCATGTACACCACAAGTGACTGGCTTCTCATATAAAACATAAGTAAGTTTCAAAACTAGGGATATAACAGAAATTTTTTCCGCATGTTTCAAAGATTACTCTAGCTATTTGACTTTGAACAATACTGGATGACATAAATATCAAAATGGTTTACAAATT